AGCACTAACTGTTTGCTATTCTTGTGAAGCATGTGCACATTGAAATCGCTAAAGAATGACTGTAAAAACCAGTGACCCATTAGTGTGGCTGTCCTGCCCTGGAGGGATTTCTCCGTCCTTCCTCTGGTTTGTGTGCTTTTGTTATTACCAATGTAATTGTTCTCTTTTGGTTTTTGTAAACTTGTTTATTTTTCGTCCTTGGTCGCTCTGTTAGCGTAGAAACTAAGGAAGTGGGCTTATGTGCACTCACAAAATCAATTATACTAATTTGAACTGCTTCTAGAAGGGACGTGATTCTGAACTAATGATGTATTGGAGAGGAATATTTGGCACTTACCACAAAGTCATTAAGGACTTAACAGCATTGTACGCCAGATGATGGGGGTTTTAATGAAGTCACCGCCTCTGTGGTTAGGAAATGGGTATTTATCTTTCTTTCTGTTTCTCTGAAAGAATGCATTATGTCTGGATTTAAGTTGTTTGATTTCAGTTTTTTTTCCAGTTTTCTTCTTGCGGGTGGTGAGTGGTGGAGGTGGGGTGGGGGAGTCTTCATTCCCCATTTTGAAATTGCAATCTTTAGAAATACAGTGGAAACCGCTTATAGTGATCACGTCTGTCTGTGAAATCGATCCCTATAAGTGGATGGTCATTACAACCATTATTTTTCTTCTTTATGTCTCAGGCAGAATACTATGTAATTTATATTTATATACTATTTACTGAATTTTATTGACTCTTTCAAAATACAGTACAGCTGTTTCAAATGTCTTTCGAATTACAATATTGCACAAATTACTGAATTGTGTATAATTCAAATACGCTATAATACAGTACAGTACTGTACATGAAATGTAGCTTATTGTAGTTTTGCTACGGCACCTTGTTGGCTCGTTTATCATAAAGTTTGAGTCTATATTTGTCATTGAGGGAAAATGCCTTTCTTTTTCCCCGTCATTCTTTTTCCCCGTCATGTTTTCTGTGCACACAGCATTAGCCTCGACTAGCCAGCCAGAAGCAGATGGGTTACAGATGGGAAAGTATAAAAAAAAAAAGAATTACCGTAGTTTTAATTTTTTCCATATGTTATGTATAAAAAGACCCAAAATGAACACTGTAAGCGGACTACTTGATTACTAATAAGGAAATTACTTCAACAGTACTTGCACAAGATTAATTCTGTCCCTAGATTTTTGATCCATATAAGTGGTTGTTCACTATAACCATGATCACTACAAGCAGTTTCCACTCTATTAAAAATGATGTGAACACAGTATATGCCTGTGCACATTATATGATGAAAATGCATTAAAATTTCAGAATAATATTTAGTCCCAGTATCCAGCTTAATCCTCCAGTCCAGAAACATGCTTAGGGGAGTCCGTGTCTGTAAATTTCCTATAGTGTGTGAGTGCATGCCTCACGGTGGACTGGTATCCCATGCCATCCCATGCCATCCCATCCCGTCCCGTCCAGTGCCGTCCCATGCCGTCCCATCCCGTCCCGTACCATCCCATCCCATGCCATCCCATGCCATCCCATGCTGGCTGCAGTAGGCCCCCGGGGGTCATCACAACCCCATACTGGATAAGATGGGTAGAGTATAGACATTTTCAGCTCATTGTACTTGTATGATTTGCAGAGAAAAGGCCTCTTGGCAACAGGTGCCTTTAATGATAAGGAAGTAGATGCTGTAATCAGAAGGACGCACAGCATTTACGCTGCTTATGAAGCTTAACCTGCATTAATCTTCAATGAAATGCCAGCCTAAATGTGTGTCCTAAGCAATGCACTGATTGTAGAAAAATAATCAGCATTCGAGCGGAAAGACAGTCTTATGACGTCCATTAAGTTGTTCACAGCCCTTTGCAGGATCACAGGTAATACGAAATGGCTGAAAAATCAATTTAAATGGTATATTTTAAAGTTCTGTGGGAAAAAATGCAGTGCTGCCGCAGCTGTGCGTCTTCTCATGATACCTGACATCAGAGAGGCTTAGTGGACCAGCAGCATTTTATTCCAGTGGTTCCTTTTTGAGCACCACGTGAATAACTACATCTGTCATTTTGTTACACCTCCAGTGGCAACTGTAATAACAGCCATTTTCAGAACACTTTCAACAAAGTCGTTGTTTTTTTAATATACATTTCTTTTCATTTGAGGCAAAACACTTTATTTGAAAGGGGGCCATTTTGAAGGCTTTGAAAAAACCCTTTTCCGCTCTGGCTTCATTTTTAATGATATGTTCTTTATTTTTTTGGGATTTTTGTTTTTGCTCATACTGATCATCCGTGAATCACTTTTCCCTGTTTTTTGTTTTTTTTGAAGGGGTAGAGCAGGGAAAAGCTTTGACCACAAATGGGAAAGTCTCAGAATCAAAACAGACATGAAAAATAAGTAGTCAAAGGCTTGCATAACTGGACCTAGAGCACTGTTAAATGCAGCCATCCATTATAAAATGTATTGTGGTCTTTTTGACCTGAGATACATGCTACACTATCTGCCATTCACTGATGAGTATATTAAATACATCTATTAATACTACAAATAAGATCTCAAATGAAGCTTTCCAGCAGTGATTCATGTATAAGGTATTTCACAATGTCCTTTGAATTGACAGTACCGTTTGCATTCTCTACTTGAACATTCATTCATTCATCTTCTCTACTACTTGTCTTATATATTCCATCTAAATACTGAGACAGGGAATTGAGATCCACGGATTAATTGCGTAGGCCTTTAAACCTCTTACAATGTCAGTGTGTTTCATTGAAATCCATTCCATTACCGTTCTTAGTTATACCGCAAATGAATTTGTATGCACGCGGGGCATCCTTTGAGTAATTGCTGAAGAGTTTGTAAAAGGCATGAAGTGAATATGTAAATGAGCAATTCCGTCAGATAGGTAAGTATTCGGACAGGGTAAGCGATCACATGCTCCCTTTATTGCATGAATCAGTTGGCCGTGGTACAATGCGACATCCATTCAGTCGATTAAACAACAAACCACTTGAGCCGGCACAATGGAGTGCGAAGATAGCTATTACAGATTTTTTTTTTTCCATCTTGATTTATTTATTTTTTTTATGTTCTCCATCTCGAGCCATGTCTGCCAGCAGATTGGTAGTGAGCCAGGCTAGAGTACACTGGCGCTCGCTCTGAATTCTATGCAAATCGAGCGCCTTATCATCACCTAAAAATATACAATCGTATACTTAAATATTTTGCCATTTGTGAGGGCAGAAAAAATGACCCTCACACCAAAAAGCAAGAGTAGTTCTGTGTGGGGTGCATTTAGGTTTGTTTTCTTGCTTGTGTATGTTGATGCAGGTGTGTGTAATATTTACACTTGCGGTTGGCTCTGAGTGAGCCTGATGGAAGGTCACCCCCGGCAGACATGTACCTCATCAGATAAGGCCTGTTATGAGAAACCTGGGTAACAGTTTACGTAAAGCAGTCCTGTAAATACAGTAAAGATACCTTCATAATGCATTGTAATGGATTCATGATACATTATTAAAAAGTATTATAAACATCCCATGTTTATTATGCTTTTTTTAATGTTCTCATCTGTAATGCACTATAAATACCTTCATAATGCATCATACTGACCATTATAATGTGTTATGAAGGTATTGATAGTGCATTATAGATGAGAGCATTTGTAATGCATAATAAATATGGCAATAATTCGTTATGCCTTTTTATAAACATTTATAGCCCTGTTTATAATACTTTATGAATGCATCATAATGCATTATGAGCGTATGTATAATGCATTTATATGACTGTTTTAAGTAAAATGCTTCTGCCTGTTCATTCCCTATTTCCCACAAAAATTCTCCTGGAAACATCTCTGCACCACTGGAGGAGGGAATGGCAAGATTGAGTCAGTGCAGAAAGTTTTCAAGGTCTTGTACACAGACCATGGATCAGCCCCCCTCCTGCTCCCCACACCATGTTTACTTGTGTGGTGGAGGCGATTTTGAGAGCCAGTCGATTTCCACACTCTGATTAGTTCCTTCCTACTCCCACATGGGAATGGACTCTTTACCTGAACGTCTTTCAGATGCATACTGTACCTTGGCAAATATGCAGTGTAATATTCTTCTATAACGACATATTTTTGCCATTAACTTTTAGACAAATTGTTACATCTATGTTGAAGATAACTGATACATTTGAGTAGCCGACTGTTACGCAGTGATTCATCAATGGCTACATAACTGGATTACAGTGTCATTTTGGACATAATTCCATGTCAGTCATTTATCTGAGATAAATGAGCATCACTTCAGTCATTCTGTATATTTCTGTCCTCACTTGTATTGACTTATGCACATTTATTTTTCATCAGAGTTCCATGGGGACTGTCCCATTTTCTTTAGTCTTAGGAAGGCGAGTCTTTAACTTAAGCCAGTTATAAATGCCCACTTAGGCTCCACTTTCCCGTGCGAGTTTCCAAGCCGAAGAATAAGAATAAGAAGTCCATACCTGCAGCCTAATGTGAAGCATATTGCAGCCAAAAGTACCTTTCAGGCAGCTCTGTTATTAATTGGAAGGTACGGTGAGCACGGATTAGCTGTTAAAATATTTTACATATGTCACCTTCGTCTGTAATGCTGCGGCTGTGTGATGTATTTTATATTCATATGTAACCCGATGCAGATGATCATTAAGTCAACACCAGGGAAATACCAGGGTATTCTGAAGTTGCTGAATGTTGTAGTTGCTTTTATTTTCTTTCTTTCTTCTTCAGTACAAACTCTTCCTAAGTATTAACTCATCTATCCATCCAATTTCCTTAACTGATTATCCCATGTAGGGTCAATGCCCATCCCAGGTCCATGGGTATTCCCAGAAACACAGGACATGAGGCAGGGTGGCACCGTGATTAGGATGCCATTTAGTCATGGAACACGCACACAGCCAAAGATGTCCTTTGCCTGCGTTTTGCAGTTTACATTTGTAAGCGCTTACCTTTCTTCTGTTCTACCACGCAGGAGAAAGACTCTATTGCGGTGCTCTCAGTGCAAGACTGCCTACTACTGCAATGCAAGTTGCCAGGTAACGGCTGCCTTCCACGCTGTCGGTACTGAATGAGGCTCCAGAACACACTCCTGTGATTATAATTCACATGTGGATACACACACACGCACACACACACAAACTGGAGTTCCAGAGATGGTCTGATACTGCAGGTCTGTTTTTTTCCTGCATCAATGAGCCAGCAGGCGACTGAGATATTCCAGAATGTCTGGGAGTCCCTTAGAAATGCACCTTTTCCCCAAAACACCTGGGAGCCCAGTGTAAGCTTCTGAGACGGAGACATTACTGGTCGCACACTTAAAGCTCAACACTAATTAACTGCAGCCTGCTCTTCTTATAACACCCATGTTGAATGTACCCCTTTTTCCTCCAGCCAAACCCTATGTAGGGTAATTGTACTGTAGGGTCCTCATACTGTAGGTACTTATACTTGTAATGGCGCAAATTGCAAATAAAGGATTTATCATTTAAAAATGGTAAATCCGTGTCCTGAATTGGTTCTGGGGACTTAGGCTGTCTGAAGCACTGGTCACCATTTGCTTTCAATAGAGCAGTTGCCAGGCCCATATTTTTACTCCCCTAATTAGCAATTATACCTTTAAATCAGTGATCATGGAACATCTGAGGATGGAGTAAGCAAAAGTAAGATAATTTACATTTTATCCATCCATCCATCCAGCCATTCTTTGGCTTATTGTCGGATTCACATGTACTTATTACCAAGAATTTTTTTTCAATTTATATATATATTTTTTTTATTACTGTTTAAGAAGAACACCAATTAGTAAAAAACTGAGAAAGTTACTCTTTTGGACCTAACATTGGTCTGTACTTCCAATGGTAACATAATCGTAGGTCACTACTTAAAAGTTGGACCTAGATAATAGAGCTTTCCTTAATGAAATCACGGAAGCGTGAGTTCAAATTACAGCATCAAAGATGACGGCGCTGCTTAATTATACAGTAATAATTATGTATTGTGTTTCAATTTGCGTCACATGAAGCTGTCTATATGCGATACAAGTGTTTCCTTTGGTGTCAGCGGTTCAGTAGCCCTGGTGTTTGTGATTGGAATCGTTCTGTAATTGGGATGCTTTTGTGACTGTGGAAATGCACTCTGTCTGAAAACATTATTGGGAGACGAGTCCAGTGACTGAAGCAGTTGCTGCTCTTGGTGTGAAGGTTTTCAGCTGCAGAACAAACCTTTTCATGCTAATTACGATTCACTCAGTCAGTGTGTTCTCTGAATATGAATGAATGAGCTCTGTCTCTCTATCTTTCTCTCTCCCTCTCTCTCTGTTCCTCTCTTTCTGTCCTCCTCTTTCCTTCCTTCTTTCTTTCTCTCTGCCCCTCTCCCCCCTTTCTATGTATCCCACTCTCTTTTTGTCCCATTCTATTTCACTTTGTCCCTCTTTGTCTCTCTTTCTGTCCTCCTCTTTCCTTCCTTCTTT